AAAGAACCTGTTATTTTCATCATGTCTGTCTGACTGTCAAGCTGTCCTCTTGTAATAACTCAGTATCTGTTAAACAGATCTCAATAAAATTTGCTTTGCTGAATCGACACTAAAAATTATCAGCTAAATTCAATATTGATACCCTGATTTTGAAAACCATACCTGGTAGTTCCAAAAGACACTATTGGAGGAAGCATGGTAATCGTGTAAACATTCAGAATCTTTTTAAGTTTAAGGTCTTTCATTCTNAATTCAGAATCTCATCTCTCAATGAACAAATCTCAAAATTCAGCATGGCAGGTCTATACTAAAAGTCACAGACCAAATCCAATTTTCATTCCTTAATTTTGAAAATGAAATTTGTGAAATAAATCAAATTGCTGTTATGTTGTAACATTTATGCTTCTAATATGGTGTTTGCTTGATTTTTGACAGAGGCAGCTGAGCCACAGTCATGGAAAGATGAGCACAGATTTACTCTTGATTCTGTGGAAACATGCAAGTACAGTGTGTATGGTCAAAACGCTGCTCCTAAGGTTAAAAAAGGTGGTACATATAATTACCGCTTTGCTCTGAATGGTCAGTGCAGTATCACAAAACTGCACACATTGAAATGAGAAGTGTATGACTTCACAGTGTAACAATAAAATATCCTGTCAAGGTTCCCAGCTTTTATCTGAAATGCTATGAACAGTATGAGATAATGGTCACTGAGACTTGTAAATACATTTTGAGATACCCACATACCGTCTGGAGATACTTTCATACACTGAGACAGCTGCATAGAGTTTCACACATCTTTCATACAGTTTGAGACACCTGCATACAACTTGTAACCTTACATAAAGTTTGAAATACCTGATAAAAGCTTGAGATACCTGTACATGCATATAGCCTTAGGCATCTGCATGTAATGTGAGACAACTGCATAGAGTTTGAAGCACCTATATACAATTTAATATTAACGTCATGTATTTATCGTCCGTCAATATTGCAACACTTGTTTATTCATGACTTAATTTTAATTTTAGTTTAACATTATGCATATCAAGACACCTGAAAATGGCCATTTGGGGCCAAAACTTGTAGTGTCAAAGTGTATACACTAAACTAAACTAAAATTATATAAACTAAATTATATAAATTATTAAAATTAATTAAAATTATATAAACTAAAATTAAGTAATGAATAAAAAAGTGTTGCAATATTGATGGGCAATAAGTATATGATATTAAGTTAAAACAATTGCAACAGGATGCTAAAATACAGAATTACAATTTAATATACGAGGGTCGGTCAAAAAGTTCCCAGAATGGTGGTACAGCACTCTAATGGTAGGACATATGGCAACACTTACCTAATCACCTTCAAAGTAGGACCCTTGCGCGCGCACCCACTTGCTCCATTGATCCTGCCATTGTTGGAAGCAGTGATGGAAGGCTTCTTTTGGAATCTTCCAGAGCTCAGCTCGATTTGATGTCCTCCATGGTTGGGAAATGTGTCCCCTTGATGCCCATTTTCAGAGTAGGGAACAGCCAAAAGTCACTCGGAGTGAGATCCGGAGAGTATGGTGGTTGAGTGATGACAGGAATGTTTTTCTCAGCGAGGAATTGCTGCACAACAAGCAATGTGTGGCTTGGTGCATTATCGTGATGCAGAAACCGCTGTCCCTGCCACTTGTCGCGCCGCATCCTCCGAACTGCATTGCGCAACCTCTGCACATAGAAATGGCCAGTAACAGTACCAACTTCGTGCTCCAACTCTGTGATGGTCATTCTTCGATCACATGGAATCAGTTGTCTCACTTTCCAATCATTTCTTCAGTTCTGGATGTCGAAGGTCTCCCGCTGCGCTGGTCATCCCCTAACGTCTCCTGCCCATTCTTAAACTGGGAAAACCAGTTGTAAACTGTGGATTTCTTTAGTGCAGTATCACCATAAACTTGCTGTTCGAACTGTGACATTGCTCCGAATCACAAACACTCAACGTCTAATTCAACGGAACAGTAACGACATTGCACACTGAAACCTGTCCAGACTTGTTGCGCCTGAGAGCAGACATGCTGAGCTTCCCACCACAACAGTGTGTGCGCTATCTTATTGCTCATTCTCTGCAGGGGAATTCCGGGAACTTTTTGACTGACCTACATATATATACTTATATACATACAAAGATTCTAGACACGTACATACAGTGTGAGGCATGAACATACTGAGGCTGCTTCTTATTGTCTGAGATGCTTATCTACAGTTTTGAGAGAACTATATACATTTTGAGACACCTATAGTCTATCTGAGACACTTAATCATATGTACGGTTAGACATCTATATGCTGTTTGAGACATCTGCCCAGTGTCTGAGTCACTTTAAATGAAGTCTGAGATTCCGGCATATGATTTGAGACACTTATTTACATTTTGATACACCCACATACTCTTTTGGATGCTTCCATACTGTTTGATAGACCTACGTAACTAATGCTACATACTTTTTTACAGAAAGAAATACATTTTGAGACAGCCACCTACACATTGAAACAACTAAATACTCTTTGAGACACCAGTATGAAAGGATGTGTTCCTATCTAATGAAATCTCACATAGACATAATGGTGGCTTTTGATGTGCAATATGTTTCAGCAAACAGAAGGTATATAGCATCACATCTCAGAAGATGATAATCTTTGTAGTCACAGCCCTAAGAGCCATAAATCTCACACAGTTCTTTATCAATAAAATGCAGTGAATTTGCATAGAAAATAAAACCTCATATTTATTGTTACCAGAGAACATAAGTGTTATGAGATATTACTGTACACATAAAAGTTAATTTTTTTATTTTGTTCTATGCTCTGATTCTCAACATTTCAGACTCATGAATCATTAGAACAGGTTCCGCAAAGACAGATATCTTGTCTCATATTGTGCTCCAAAATAATGATGTATAAATCTAATTACAGCAAGAATGTATAAGGTTTGGACAGTGTGCATATTGGCTTGTATGGAAACATTGTACGTTCTACAGGAAATTAGTCACTTAAACTAATGCAACCAGATGTAATTGCATAGTAATGTAGAAAGGATATGAGGTATGATGCAGCATAGTCCGATGGAAGTTCCCAGACATTTTGACTACTCTTTAACGCTGGAGAACACTGGTGAACTTCTTTCGAGTACAGGGCTTGGCATACCAGTACACTTCATAGTCACTGCTGTGAGGATCTCAAAGACAACATAATTGTCTGCTCTAGCCAGAAGGTCATGGATTCAAATTCCGATGAGGTCACTGGATTTTTTTCAGTTGACCTAATCCTTCCAGCCACACTAGGCCCTTTGTTTACTCAGCATCTAACAGAAATGAATACCAGGAATTATTTAAATAATTTTCCTGGGGAGTAAAGCGCGGCCGGCGCATAAGGCTGACAACCTTACCGCCATCTTTGAGCCGATTGTCTAGATAATGTGGGAGCCTCAATGTCTCACAACCCTATGGGCCTTCATGGCATGGAACAGGGATAGCTTTACTTTTTTTTTTTTACTTACAGTATTTTTTAAGGACCTAAAATGTTTAATTTTGGTTTGTACATCACAAGAAGTGTATGATTCGAATAGAAAGAATCTTGAAGTGTACTTCTTGTGGCATGTGACGCCATGGCAGTCTGGAAGAAGTCTACTGACTTTTGGAGCACCATATTTCCACCATGAGGATATTAAGAGGAGATTGAACTTCAGTAATTGTTGATACCATTCAGTCTAGAACCTTTTGTCTTCTCATCTGCTGTCTAAAAACAAAAACATTAGAATATACAAAACTATAATTTTGCCTGTGGTTCTGTATGGGTGTGAAATTTGGTCTCTGACATTAAGGGAGGAACATAGAGTGAGGGTGTTTGAAAACAGTTTGCTGAGGAGAATATTTGGACCAAAGAGAGATGAAGTGATGGGAGATTGGAGAAAACTGCGTAATGATGAGCTTCATAACTTGTACTCTTCTCCAAGTATAATTAGAATGATCAATTCTAGGAGAATGAGATGGGCAAAGCATGAAGCACGAATGGTGGAGAAGAGGAAAGCATATAGGGTATTTGTGAGGAAGCCAGAAGGAAAGAACCACTAGGAAGACCAAGACGTAGGCAGGTGCACAATATTAAAATGGATCTTAAAGAAATAGGATGGGGTGGAATGGACTGGATAGATCTGGCTCAGAATAGGGACCAGTGGATGGCTCTTGTGAACACAGTAATGAACCTCTGGGTTCCCTAAAGTGCTGGGAAGTTCTAGAGTAGCTGCACAACTGGTGGCTTCTCAAGCAGGCCTCAGCTCCATGAAGTTAACTTCGTTTATATTTCCACCATAGTCTTCCAACTCATCAACCCCGACGACATAGACAAATGTTCTTTCGAGAAGGTGGTACTTATATCCCAACATCCCAAGAAACGTATATAGTGCTCGTATTCATAGCGGAGTTGGCCTCAAACAAAAACAAACAACAAACTCCGTGATTTTAGACTGCAAGCGAACTATACCAACCGACCAAGCGACCGCCGCTTGTCGGTGAAGTTTAGTGCCCACTTTTGTGGACAGATGGTGTCGCGTGGTCAGTGCAACGAATCCCCACGGTCGTTAATTTCGGTTTTCTAGACCGGAGCCGCTATTTAATTTTTTTAAATTTATTCTTATATTCAAGTAGATACAATTACAGGGCGAGAAACAAGTTGACACACCACTGGATATAGAATATGCTATTTCATTGAAATAGCTCCTCAATTATCACGAGGCTGAGTGGACCCCGTTCCAGACCCACTACTTCTCAGAAAATATCTGGTAGCGCCGGGAAGGAAGTGGCCTCACAGGTGAGAATCGTTTCGCCGACTGAAGTGAACTGAAGACTACTGCTACCACAGAGAACCCAGCCGCCGTAGTTTCACAACCTAATGGATAGATGGCACACGAACCGACAGTAGTGACCGGTAGTGACATACACATCTGTATGCAAGCAACCGGAAGTCCGAACAAGTGTGTGCATGAGGTGTCCACGAGGTTCCTGCTGATGGAAAAGAAGTTAAGGTAACATGAAATAAGAATCTCAAAGGACTTCGTATATATATTTACGATACTCCCGTCGATATATTCCTATAAACGTATGACGTAACTTGTCTTGAATTTGCTTGCTGTTTTTAGGGTTAATACGTTTCCGTAAATATGTTGAAGGTTATCTGAGCAAGGCGACAAATAATAATACGATGCAAAAAAAAAAAATCGATTTAATTGCCGGGTAAATTTTATGACATTGTGTCTAATTACTTCAAACTAAAGAGAGATTATGAAATACTAAGCTTTCATTTTCTAATCATCCCCAACCCATAATTGTTTGTGAATATACATGAAAGAGTAGCGTGTTTTACATAAGTGCATTTGTAGGTATTTTTATATTAAATGTAACCCTAGTACTGGACAGCATACCATGAAATTATATAGAACACAGCCCCAAAACAAACCTCCCCTACTCCGATTCTGTTGATAAAGTCAGTTGAAAACTTATTTGTAGATGGGGTTATGATTTTCCTGGTCAGTCAATCCTGACACATCTGGTGTATAGCAAAACTTATTTCTCTTTTCAGTAGCCTGAAGAGCAAAAAGATGAAGAAACAGAGAATTAATAAATTATATGACATTTTTCATCTTGTGGCTGCAGGGTATTTCAGAGCTCATGTCAAGGGTATTATATCATTCTATAAGAAAATTTTCTGCTAGTAATGAACCTCACCACTTTCAAGATTTGGAATATAAGCGGTTTTGAATGAAACCTTACTGCCTATTGCATTGAATATCATACATGGATCTAACAGCAAAAATGTATTTACATTAGAAGAGAAAATTGTTAGAATATGGGTATCAAACCTAGAAATTTATTTAGAGGTCTATTTAAGACTCTAGAGATCTTGCATCTATCATTTGAACACATATTTTTATTAATGAACTTAATTGTAGACAACCAAGAACTTTTTCAGACATCCACAGTATAACATAAACCTGTACAAATGTTATACTGGTTATCTTGCCGTTCTCATGCACGTGTCTGGTATAACGACATGATAACGTAATAGAGCGTAAAATATTCTGAAGCATTTACATCAAACGTGAAAAGCAGAACAAAGTAATAACAGAGCAGCAGTTTCCTTCAACTCAGCACCTTATACACCTGATGATGCCCAGTTAGACCGAAACATGTGCCCCCCCCCATTGCAAAGTCTCTTCCAGACCATTCAGGGCTCAGGCCTCTTATTCAGTTCCGTAATCTTTTTTTTTTTTTCATAGACGTTAGGACTCCTTGGACGAGTCAGCAGCGCCCGTCGCAAGGCCACTACCCAAACACAGGACAACATAAACACAGAATAAACGCATACACACCCCAAAAATCCACGGCACGAGTGAGACCGGTCGAAATATATATTTTATATAATAAAGGGCTGAAGAAGTGTGAACGTTAATATATCAGCGAGGTTGCACAAAGACGGCAAGGAGTGGGAACAATAAGAATACACAGTGTAACAGGGTGCTGCAGTATAATGTTATGACAAAAAAGAAAAGATTAAAGTCACTGAAAGGGCCGTGCCATAGCTCAGGCGATTAGTAGCCGGGTTCGAGCCCAGGTCAGGTCATGTGGAATTCGTGGTGGACAAATTGGCACTGGGGCAGGTTTTCTCCGAGTACTTCGGTTCTGAAATGAATTTTCTGGCTTCTTGAAGTATGGAATGCAAAATACCAGTGAACACGTTGGTAACGTTTTAGACTTTTATTCAGGAGGTTCCTGGTTCGAATGTCAGCCGACCCAAAATGCTATCCTGACTAAGGTTCTTCGTGATTTTACTCAGTCCCTCCAGGAAAAGCCGGGGTAATATTGTGATTGGGCCACGACTACTCTTTCCAAATCCTTTCTAATTAATTGTTCACCAATCAGTCCAAAATTCAACGGTCTGCAGTGTGTGATACTAACTAACTAACCAACCAACCAACCAACCAACCAACCAACAAACTAACTTTACGGAGTTGATCCATTCTTGAGAAGCCGCCAGTTGTGCAGCTACTCAAGAACTTCCCAGAAATTTAGGGAGCCCGAGGTTTCATTACCGTGTTAACAAGAGCTCTACACCGGTCCATATCCTAAGCCAGATCAATCTAATCCATACCATCCCATCCTATGTCTCTAAAATCCATTTTAACATTATCAGCCCACTTATGCCTCGGTCTTCCTAGTGGCTTCTTTCCTTCTGCCTTTCTCACCAATATTCTATATGTATAGCCACATGACCTCCCACCTCATCCTCCTTGACTTGATCATTCTAATTACACTTGAAGAAGAGTATAAGTTATGAAGCTCCTCATTATGCAGTTTTCTCCAATCTCCCTTCACTTCATCTCTCTTCGGTCCAAATATTCTCCTCAACACCCTGTTCTCAAACACCCTCAGTCTGTTCCTCCTTTAATGTCAGATCAAGTTTCATACCCATACAGAACCACAGGCACAATTATAGTTTATATTCTATATTACATTTTATTTTTTTATATTCGAATTTTCTGTATATATATATTTATATATATGTATATATATATAATGAAATTATGTTTTTACACAATAGACGAGAAGACAAAGGCTTCTGAACGGATTGGTAGAAAGTATTACCCGAATTCAGTCTCCTCTTAATTTCCTCCTGAATCAGATTTTGATTTGGCGTGTGACACTAAGAGCGCCGTTAAATAACCCGCATATAAAACGCGAAATATTGGACTAATACCGAATTTCAGATTAGGTGTGCAGGGATTGAGAACAAGAGCATCAGAAGTACTTGGATGATGTCCTGTTTGTTAGGAATATAAAGTAATTGTGTCCTTACATCACGTAAAAAGGGTTTATAGGTTTACTGCTACAGACACCAAACTTAACACAGTGTGAATATGTACTTCTGCAAGAATAAACCGTGAAGGGGGGGGGATAGGAGAAGAACTTATGTGCTTGGAATCTGAAGATCTAATCAGAGTGCGAACTGAAGGCACTTGGGACTTTGTTTTCACTCTAGGAGTAGTAATCTTGTCCTTTCCACCACACTGAGCCGTGATGCAAGCCTACTCTGATAAGCCTGCATTCAGGGGTAGGAGGTGAAACTTACGGAATTCTACAGAATCCCTTTTTTTTTCCCGGAACTCTACAAATCTCTCCCCATAAACCCTCTGAATTCGGTACAGTGATACGTGATTTGGGCTCACAGGCGAACCGAGTTCATAGCCCAGATAGAACTTCGAGTTGTCAGCTGTTCGTGCGTTTGATGCAAAAATGCGTCGCGCTTGTTGGTCGGAAAACTTAACATTAAACAAACTGTCCGGCGGTCATACTTCATGTTAAGTAGGTCTCAGGTAAGGTTTCAGCATGAGAACCCAATTACATATGTAGGCCCACTTTAAAATTATCAGCAGATAAGGTTATATGGCGCAAAACAGTAGGATGAAATTTGTTAATTTATATTTTATGACTTATTTAACAACGCTGTCGGTATGTCAATCCATATAGCTGTCTCTGTCTGTCCGATAAAGGCCAGGATAGTGCTTACAAATTAGGCCGTGAACACATTCTTCCAGTTCTTTCCGATTTAATTATTCACTAACCATCTACGTCTTATTGCTGTATATTCTGAATTACTGAAAGCGTCGTTGTCCCTGCAAGTGCCTAGTGGATAAAATTTCAACCTTCACAAAAATTTCTATGTTTGAGAGTAAGTGACATCTGGCATTTTATCTCTACTGTACAGTCAAGAAATTTCCCCCCCATACAATGTAAGTTCTTATGGAGTTCTTAATATGTAATATTTAGGTATATTCATAAATTGTGCTCTGTTTTGACTTGGCATTGTAGGAATTACAGCTGGAATACCTAGGGCTAGATAAACCAAAAATATATAAAGAAATTATATATATTTTTTTCTTTTATGTCCAATATTTCTGTTACATTCTTCTTTTAATTATTCCTTCATTTCTTTCTCGTTCTCCTTTATTTATTTCATTGTTTGTTTGTTTATTTATTTATACCTTCTTTCATTCTTTCTTATTTCCTTCCTTTCTCTCTCTCCAGCCCCCTTTCCACAGGGACACACACCTTGTCATATCGCGGACTCACTGCGCTTCAACACTAGCCGGGCCGGGTCACTCCAGCTAAGTGGTCTCAGTGTGCTGGCACATTACGATGACGTACCATCTATACCGATATGTTTCCGGTAGTTTGGACTAAGATATTCAGTAATCGGGCGGGACCAGACTGCTCACCATTCCTCATGTAAAATTCATGACGTCACTACTGGCCGTAATATGTGCTGTGTGAAGTACAGGCATGCTTAACATTTTCTTGACATGTTTACCGAAGTGGTAGCCATGTTGCTTGTTAGACGGGGACACTCGCGTGAATATCCGAAATAGAACTTAGAGAACAGCGGCCTGGGGGGGGGGCAGACTCTGAATCTTACTGAGTGCCTGAAATTCTAATTAATTCACAGGTGCAGAGTTCTTCTTGAGACGCTAATAGTATCACAGCTGTTCAGTAAATTGCCACTTCTACGGACCCTGGAGATACATTACCGTATTCACGTGGTCCCCATGCTGAGAAACACGATTCCAGTTTACATGGTCATATCACATTTCTTTATGTCCATTTTAATGGGACACGCGGTAGCGTAGTTGGTTGCGGCACTATGCTATAAGCCAGAAGGTCGTGGGTTCGATTCCCGATGAGGTCACTGGATTTTTCAATTGACCTAATCCTTCCAGTAGCACTATAGTCCTGTGGTCGACTCAGCCTCTAACAAAAATGAGTACCAGGAATATTCCTAGGAATAAAGAGCGGCCGGCGCGTGAGACTGACAGCCTCACTGCCATCTTTAACCTCATTCTCTAGAAAACGTAGGCACCTCGAAGTCTCACAACCATATGGGCCTCCACGGCCTGTTACAGGGATAGGTTTACTTTCTCGCAATTCCTTCCTCTTAAGTTAAAAATTCTCCTCAGCGCTCTGTTTTAGCTGCTGCCGTCAAGTCCACAAAATCAATCTCCTCTTGTACGCCAAGTTCAGCCATGTCAGCACAGTTGTTAGAGCTCAGTTCTACGTGTATCAGTGCGCACGTCTTTCTCCAGGACGGTAAGATTATGCCTACGGAGCTCAGACGATTTGCAAGACATATGAATGACGAACATGGATGTGTGTCATGTGGTCGTGGGCTATTTAAATGAAAACCAAGAATGGGTCGAGAAAAGGAATCGAGACTTCACAGTGTGGCAACAACCAATGAAATGCGACGTTCAGAATATTATTGTCCCATGAGGACACAGTGTTGTGTATAACGATGAATCAATCATTTACCATCCTCATTAGCAGTAGCACGATTTAGGCTCCTCTAAAAGCCCTTTCCGCCGGTCACGGTAGCCGAGCGGTCTAAGGCATGCACTGGCTTCGCTCGCTCGGAAGCCGAGATCGTGGGTTCGAATCCCACTCAGGGCATGGATGTTTGTGTGCGTTTTTCTGTGTTTGTGTACAGGTAGAGGCCTTGCGACGAGCTGATCACTCGCCCAAGGAGTCCTACCGAATGTGTAAGATCTAGAAAAACCGAAGTGGACGTAGTTCATGGAGGTAGGCCTAGGCCCACTGGGGCTGTAGTACCAAGGGGAGGGGGGGAAAGGGGCCTTTCCGAATTCATGTTTTAAAATTATAACTGTTAAATTGACAACTGTTCTCTCTATTTTTTACATGGACTTTCTTGGTCTCGTCTCTCTCGGGGATCGTAGCCTGAGAGGAAATCCATTTTACTCCAGTCTTCTGTGTCTTGCAGACAATTCGTTTTTTATGATCATCCTTAATTTTCGGATTTATAATATTGTGTTGCATTGGTGTATCACTTTACACGCTTACTTCCGTCTTTAATGCAACTTTGTTTACAATTTCTCGTCAATTTAAAATAATATTAAAATTAACATTAAACTGCTACATATTTCGGCCTTACTTGGCCGTCTTCAGGCAACTGTTCCCTTGTTGATACCGATGCACTGCATTAATTCTTAAGTTAAAATATTTCAGTGTTAATGGATTTTCGTCATTCACATTAAAATATTTTCCTTCAGAATATATATTTTATTTCGCTGTTTTGTTCTTGAGGCGTCCGTGTTTTTTTGTTCTAAGGCAAATATATTATATGAACGACAAATATTCAATAACACTGGAATATTTTAGCTTAAGAATTAATGCAGTTTAGCGGTTTCAACAAGAAAAACAGTTGCCCGAGGATGACCAAGTAAGGCCGAAATCTGTAGCAGTTTAATTGTAGTTTTAACGTTATTTTAAACCGAGGAGAAATTGTAAACAAAGTTACATTAGTGATGGAAATAAGTGTGTCTTGAATTTATGACAACGATTTTTAGTCTTTCTCTTATATCTTAATTATGCCTCTGTTCGATAAATCAGTGTGGTGTCACAGCTTTCATGAATCGAATATTCCTCAGTGAAAATCTACCCTTTTTGTCGTTTTATCAATCCCCAGCACCGAAACCCATACAGAACAGTTGATATGGCCAGTTAAATTTTCTGGCTACTTGCATCAGTGCTTTTACACAATGAACAATATTGGAACGGATTTACGTAACACCCTGTATAAAGCCGGGCATATCACAGTCGCTACAAGGTTCCTATGTGACAGATTATGGCACTCTCATAATGTAGCAGCAGCAGGATCCGTGGCTGGGCGATTTGTCACTCGGAGAAATCAGTTTGGTGGCTGCAGTGGGGGAGGATCCGTCGCTACAGACAGGACATATATACATACGTACGGAGCTATCTGGCGAGGGTGCCAAGGGATACGAAGGGTGGGCACTATTCAATGATATACCACTGACACAGTCACATGCAATCACGGAATATCATATCTCATACATTTTGGACCTCCACAATTCCAAGCTCACGAGTTGAGGGAACGAATGTTTTACATATTTTACTGTTTGTATTTTTTTGTCACAGGAACGTATATACACACCGTGGACACCGACTGTTCCGGCAGGCCTCTGGTAGTGCAAAGATTTTTCTACTGGTAAGTAGTATAGTAGAGAGTTCTGTTTCATATTAATCGTATCTTAACCGGTCACTGTAGCCGAGCTGTCTAAGGCTTGCTCGGAAACCGATATCGTGGGTTCGAATCCCACATAAGGCACGGATGTTTGGTATGTGTCTGTTTATTCTGTATTTGTATTGTCTTGTGTTTAGGTAAAGGCCTCGCGACGAGCTGATCTCTCGTCCAAGGAGTCATACCGTCTGTAAAATGATGATGAAACTAAAAAATCAGAGACCAGGGCTCAAGGGGCTGTAGAGCCAGTGAAAAGAAAATTAATCATATGTTGCAAACATTTCACTTACTGCGAGATATCTTATGTCATAGACGTAATGCAAAAAATTAAATACTGGCTTATGAGAGAAAAATACAATTCGCTGTCACCACATATTTCCTAAGTATGTAATCAAGAAGCCCTTTTCTCTGTTCTCAATGCTGAAACGGTTTATGGGAGAAATATAAGTATAGCACAGATTTTATCTGCAACATTCTTGGGTAAAGCTTTAGTATTGGCGCTCCGTAATAACTTGCCATTCTCCTAAAGCAACATATAAATATTGATCAAGCTTGCTTATAACTAACCGCCATCTGTGAGCTGTTTCTAAAAAAAATGTGGGAGCCTCGGTGTCTCACAATCTTATGGACCTACAAGGCCTGTTACAAGGAGAGCTCTACTTTCTTGGTGCCCTTAGCCGAATGCTGGAATAATATTCATATTAGGAACGACTGCTTTTCTAGCGGTCTTTCCAATTAATTGGTCACTAAATAATCCGGTCATTGATGCTACATATTTTGAGACACTAATAGCGTGGTGGGAAAAATCACAAATAAATAAATATTGTGACGTTTATACCCATTGGAAGCCGCTACAAAGCAACGACTAATGGAGAGAGTAACAGACCGAGAACATTAATCTGTGATGCAGTGATTTTGAAAGTGTAGTAACGAGTTTTGTGTTAAAGTATTCAGTAAATCCATACCCCGTCCATGCCCCGTCTCTAGTCTCTCCATATACGTATCAACATAAAACAAATATAATGATAATTTCCTTTTATTCTCATGCCTCTGAGGACGGTAAGGGGCCGAAGCATGCAAGGTTATACATATATGTAATTTGATTTTTCTATTAAATTTTTTAGACCGGATGGCTTATTATTCCAATAATATATTTATAGATCCGGGATAGCGTAGTCGACATAGCAACTGGCTGCGTGCTGGACAACTGAGGGGTCGGGGTTCGAGTCCCAGTAGGGTCAAAAATTTTCTATTCTCGACGTCGTCTGGGGCTCACCCAGTCTCCTAGCGAAGGGGGTACCGGAGACTCATTCCCAGGAGGCAAAGCGGGAGGGGCGTGAAGCTTACCACACACCTGCAGTTAATGCCGAGGTCAAGAGAATGTGGATCTATACATCCACTCCCATATACGCCTTCAGGTCATAGTGCTTAATTACTTGGGCACAGAGGCAACTTTACCTTTTATCTTCTATAACTTAATTCGGTGTACATTTACGGAACTATGATTGAAGGCTCCGGCAGCAGCGTCCTGTGGGGGAGACTCCACACATGCAGAAGTTCCGTTGCTGCACACATGGACTCTGTGTCTTCTTCACGAATTGCAAATTGAGCCTTCAGTGACCCGCCAGCGAGCTCTGCGATGTTCTGGTACATTTCCTTACGGTTTTACCATAAAGAATTCGTCCTTTTTCTTTGACTGAAAGACGGCACTTGAACTCACTGACTGCGTAAAATGCGGTTCTAGTGATAGGTAATCAATTATTCCACTTCTGCTGCCCGCTTTTCTCTGTAACCTGGCGGCAAATCAACCCCTGACGACCTGCATGGATGGGGACTGTTATTATGTTACCATAATGTTACCCCGAAGCAGTCGACGGAAAGGCAACATTTATAGAGAAGAGAGGGAACTGAGAAAAACGAGAAAAAAATATATGTCGGAGTTGTGAGAGGCGACGAAGGCAAGACCACAGTATGTGGAGAGGCTGATGAAAACGTATAGTCCAGTGATTACTATACACACTACCTGTTTTAATATTGTTTTCTTATTTTCTTGGAGTGGGGTGAGACTGAGTCCATTTGGTACGTCGGCAAAGTTTGGCCTATTGTAACAGCCCTGGACGATAGATGTTGAAAAATGTGGAGCAGTCAGTGGAATCAGAATTGGCAGGGGAAACCGAAGTACTCGGAAAAAACCTTCCCCAGTGACAATTTGTCCACCACAAATCCCACATGATCTGACCTGGGCTCGATCTCGAGCCGCGGCGGTAGAAAGCCGACTACTAACCTCCTAAGCTATGGCGCGGCCTGCTTGAATTCTCCGGAATGTCTGCATTTTGTCCACAGGTCGTATTTGTGTGTTACATGTCATCCTCACAATAAACAGTTATATTCTCTCCTATTTATTCATGTTAGTTATTTTAAATCTCACGTACAACTTAAAAAAATTAAAAGTCTTAAATGTTGAAATCTCTTTTGTATCACAGATGTATCCACACTACATGTTACGACAAACATTGGTCATCTTCAGGTGTATCTAAAATTGCTGATGAAATTGCTGTGCTTCAGTCTGGAAGTTCAAATTGTTTGATAAACTCTCGCTTTTACTCGCATATGTCCTATGTTGATGGGTAGTTCCTATTGGAGTGTCACTTGAAGTTCTTATTAATATAATATATTTGTAGATGAATAGATTTACTAACAGGAATAAATAAATGATGTATAATGGGATGCTATTATACAATGTTAAATTATTGTTTTTCTAAACAGTACCGATCTGCTAGTCTTTGCCACGGGGATGTATCAATGTGCTTCCTCTGAAGGAAGGAACTGAATTTTTAGTTACTATTATACGCACCTCAGCATTTAAAGATTTCAATTCGGATTAAACTGAGCGAATCTGAACGAATTAAAATTATTTAAACGGGGAATATGTTGTATGGGGGTGTTTATAATATAGGGTGAAGTTTAATTGATATGTATACCGTGCATGCGAGTTTATAGAATTTTAACGGAACGTATATTAGAGTCTGCATATACGCATTTGAAGTTATAACGAAAACACGAGAGAGTATACATAACAACCCGTTCTGTTTCTTATTTTAAAATCAGGGCTGCCACTTTCCCCGATTCCTGGAGACCTCCTGTTTGTTTCTAGTAATAGTAAGAATATGAAACCGTAGAGATGTGAAATTTACTCTAAAGCATTGCTCAACTTTTTTTTTACGAACCATTTTTTTAATTACCCCAAAAGTCAACTGTAATTTCTAACTTCCTTAGAGTCATAGACTCTTTTCTCTTATGATAGTTTACAGAAATGTTTATTATTTAAAACTTAAAACAGCAATTCGGATATATCAGTTGATTCACCACTCTCCCCGACTTCTCTCGCGCACCCCTAGGAGCACGCGGACCTCCGGTACAGAAACACTGTCTTGAACCGTAATTATGAATAGCGACGCTCGTCATGAATAGATCTGAGAACTGTAAATAAATAGACGAATCCATCTTCGCTCACCGTCTGATTCACAGTCTATTTTGCTACATGGCCAGTAGTGATGACTGCCAGAATTCTCACTGCTCAAGAAACGCAGAAGGAAATAAGGAATTTGACGGAATTCTCAAAACGAGACGCCGCTTAGGAGAAACAGAGGTATATGGAACCATAATAAGACAGATTGGAAATAAGTAGAGTGGGGGGATATTTGACAGACTAAACTGGCTCGGGACACGGTTCATTTGAGGCTTTTTAAATATCCAAATGAATTGTTGCGTATGTCCCGTTCAGAGCGGGGAATTCTTGACCAGCTGAGCGACACTGAGTAGGCCTACTTAACAAAAAAGAAACATACAGGACACGTTCCCTTCAGTCTACGGCTCTAACATGGCGACGGCAGGGAAACGTGGCTTGGCATAACTTGGTGGTCTTCGTACTTAAAATAATATTAATTGTAACATGAAAATATCATTATCACGTAGTGTATTTGTAGTTATAAATGCCAAGGAGTTGGAATTCGATTCGCTGCAGGGGCAAGAGATCTTTCTTTTCTCCACAAGGTGCAGACTCACCCAGCATCCTAGCCAATACGAAGCAGTAAAGCGGCTGGAATGTGAAGCTGACCACTCACCTCCACTTAGTGCCGGCGTTAAGAACGGTGAAGCTCTAAATTTACTCTCTCATTTCTCTTTATGTCAAGCTGCTTAGTTAATTATACACAGGAGCACCTTTACCTCTTACCTCATTATTAAAAAAAAGTAAAGCTATCCCTGTAACAGGCAGTGAAGGCCCATAGGGTTATGAGACGTTGAAGGTCCCACATTATCTAGACAATCGGCTCAAAGATGGCGGTAAGGTTGTCAGCCTTACGCGCCGGCCGCGCTTTACTCAGGAAAATTATTTATTTATTTACTGGTCCTCATTTCTGTTAGAGGCTGAGTAAACCCCAGGGCCTAGTGCGGCCGGAAGGATTAGGTCAATTGAAAAAAATCCAATGACCTCATCAGGACTTGAACCCGCGACCTTATTATTATTAATTCCCGTGTGGAGGCTGATTAGGATACCTCCACCGTAGTTGTCCGAATGGTAGAAATCCACGAAAAGGGAACCAGGTGTCTGAGGGTATAATTGGGCTACCCCGACAGTGTGGGACATAGATACAGGGACCTGGTCCTCCAGGTTGGGGGTTGGATGCAAGGCTGATGACCTTGCTCTGTATACAAAAACATAATGTTGCAAAATCTAAAGAAGTGAAAACCGGTTGCAATCTGGCAGAATCTTCTAAGGAAAGCTATTGTTAAAAAGGGTTGTCTTGGCAATTTTTTTTTTCCTTGGCACTACAGCCCCAGTGGGCCTAGGCCTACCTCCATGAACTTCTCCGTTCACTTCGGTTTTTCTAGGTCTTACACATACGATAGGACTCCTTGGGCTGGTGATCAGCTCGTCGCAAGGCCTCTACCTGTACACAAACACA